GCTAGGTCAGGCTCCGTTCTCTCCTCGGTCTGTCCCGGCAGGAGGGGGGGGGGGGGGGGTGAAGGGATCCTTGGACACCGGGTTGAATGCCATATGGAATGCACGATGATCACAATCGCTACAACACCCCATGCACCAAGTACTGACAGCACAACCTCAATGGTACCAAAGCGCTGAAAACAACAAACGACAACAACAACGACAATGACAACGACAACGACAATCATGACAAATGAAAAAAAATACAGGCGAGAGCCAGAGGCTGGCGCACGTGAGGAATATGTCCGCGAGGGCCAAGAAGGCGGCGGCCGGGGGAAGCAGGGGCGGCGGAACCTCGTCCTCCACCCTCGGAGCCGGGTCTACTCTGGGGGGCAGCGGCCTCAGCATCGGGGGGGACAGCGTGGGCGGCGTCAGCCCATTAGGGCTACCGCCTGGCCTCCCGACGGACTCTCTGTCCAACGCTAGAAGGGCTACGATGGGGGCGGGGGTGGCGAGCCGGGACGGTGGGGGCGGGGGGGCGGCGGCGGCGGCGGCGACGGGAGACGAGCACAAGCGACCCAAGTCGTTGCAGGTGAGTGCGGGGAGACGGGGAGCGCGCAAGAGGGGGCAAGGCGAGAGGCAAAAAGGATGGAGGAGGGGGGTGAGTCGGTGATGGAGGGGCGTCGTGCGGACGAATGCGTGCGGCAAGACAGTTGCAGGGGAAGCCTCTTGTTCAAGGAGCATCGCGTATCTTCCGGCCACGTCATCAGTTGTGTTTTGTAGCGTTGGCTGTCGAAGTACGCCCCCACCAGGGGTCAAGTCATCCGTGGTGAGCATAGCGCCGCTGGCTACGATGGCCGGACAACAGCCGTGTCTCTTCGACGCATCATGATCGATGTGGTATGTGTACGGTGTGTTGCGGTTGAGCGTTCGCGCTAGCCGGAAAGACACGTGTCAAAGCACCGTGGTTCACGTCTGCGTTGGTCTAAACTCAACCCCAAGTCTTGCTCGTTATGCCTTACTGCTGTCCTCTACTGCTGTTTTGTTCTCTTCTTTTTTTTTGTTCTATGTCGAAATGTTTTGTTGTGTTGTCGTCGTCGTCGCCTGTTGTGCTGTGGTGAACTCAGAGCGACAACATTTTAACAACTCCGAAAGGGCACGCCGAAAAACGCCCTGGTTTTGACACCACCGGGGATCGGGGGGCAAACGGGGTTAGCGGGGCGGGGGGGCGGGCGGGGGCAAGGGCGGAGGGGGGCAGGGCCTGGGTGAGGGACGGGGGGTACGGGGGTACTGGTGGTGGGGGCCCGGGGCGGGGGGGGCGGGTAAGGATTGGGGGTGACCCTCGCACACAGCACCGGCAACAAGGGCAGCAACAACAACGACAAGAGTTCGACTCCTGCTCGCGGTACATGTTCTTGTGCATGATGCAGGGGAGGGTCAAGGTCGACGCGAGCCTAGCAGCGGCGGCGGCGGCTGCGGGGGCGACGGGGGCTGCCGACAGCGGCGGCGGCGGCGGCGGGAGGGTGGACAGCGTCGGCCGCGGCGGTGGGGGCGGGGGCGGGCTGGGGTCGCCCCGGGTGTCAGGCGGGGACCTGCAGAGGATGAGCTCGTCGGCGTCGTTCAACTCGGGGTACTCGGGGTCGGCGGCGTTCTCGTCGGGGGGCGGGGTCGGCTCGACCGGCGGCGTGAGAGCGATAGGCGCCAGCCACGCACCCATCACGCGGCAGGGGTACCTGTACAAGAAGGGAAAGAGCGGCCTCAAGAATTGGCAGAAGCGGTGGTTCGTGCTGGAAGGGTCGAAGCTCATCTGGTGAGAGGAGGATGGGACAGAGGCCTTTTCTGGTTTGGGTTCTGGCCAGGGGGGGACGAGGGCGCCAGGAGCTCTTGAAGTAGTGGCCGGTACTTGTATGGCTGTTGAGGGGGGCCAAGCCGGCGTGAGGGGGGGTAGGTGGCGGTCTCGATGTGAAAGAAGAGTGTTCATGGCTTAAGTGATGGACCACGCAGAGACACGGGCGGCTGTATTTTTTCTCTCTTCCTACCAACGACACGGCCTTGTCCTGCTCCTAGCAAAGACGCCACCAAAGGACAACCGCCGAAGCTCGAACGCACGCGCTCTTGCCGCCTCCTTCAATGATTGCAACCGGTCATTGGTTGCTAGTTTTGATCCCCCCCCACTCGCAATAACCCCCCCCCTCGGTGTTTGCCATCGGGGTTGGGCTTTCGTCGCTTGGCAACGATGTTGTAAAACAAGCCGATTCACTTCGTGAGCTCGGCAACCAGGTTATCGTTGTTTTTTTACCTCTGTTGTTTTTTGCGGTAACCATGAATGGTGGTCGAGTAGATCATGTTGTGCGGGGTCGAGAACCCTCACTCCGCACAAGGGGGATGATCGCACCACGTTGTGTTGAAATGGTCAAGCATCGTCGAGGCAGTTACACAGTGCTTACAACTGTCTCTGGAAGTGCAAGCACCAGAAAATAAATCAAGTCATACGCAGCTGTCATCCGCACGCAAGGAAGCAAGCACAAGATGCCGAACACCCTTAGCAGGATGCAGCGCACCCTTCATGCGACTCGCCGAATACCCTTCGGCGCTTCGCGCTTGGTGATGTGAGAGCCTGGTCCGGTGAGAGCCCGGCGTGCTCCGTCCCGGCTTTGTAGGGATGCGAGGTCAATGGTCTAACGACTACGGCATGCACGACTATGAGTACACCCCCACCCTCCAAATGCATGCAACTGTTGGCGGTTGTTGCGGCGTGTTGCTGGTGGTGAGCGATCTCCTTCCGTCGCTTGCTTGCTTCAAGTGCAAAGCACACACCACAAACTACCGTTCGCGACCGGTGCCCACCTCAGGGGTTCCATGATGGTGGGGTGCTTTGGCAAATACCCCAAAGTTCTTACTCGCTAGATCGCAGTCGAAATCGCATGTGCATGTGCCCCCGGTATGTATCTGTTGCACACCGAGTCGGCCCCGAGGGATTGTCTGCGGGCAGCAGGAAATGAGGTCTGGGTCAGATACGTATTTTGCCGTTGCCGTGAAACTTAACGTGGGTATCGCCGAAGAACCAAAGGAGTTAGTTTGGTGCGATTTTAGCTGCCGGGGGGTCCGGCGTTTTTGTTTTTTTCTGTGCCTTTGAGGGGGTACGTATGCGAGAAGAGAACCCGCCCCCCCCCTCCGCGCCGCGACAGTACGATGCCGGAAGATGGGATAGACCAAGCAGTATTTGTTGGGCCGAGTATGGCAGACGGCAAATCACGCCCCAAGTACTGGAAACCAATGACGAGTAAGTCGCCCCCCCCCCGCGCCCTCGCAATAAAAATTGTCTGCACAACTCAATTTGCCACCTCAACATTTACGGGACC